TCATGCCTTTATTTTTGAAGGAAAATGTAAGAAAACTGTTTAGTAGGGAAAAATCCCAGTTCAACAGAAGTTATTCCTTTCCATTGAAGTGCTAGCAATTAATACCATGGCTGTTGCTCTACAGAAGGGCTATGTGAATGCTATAAAATTATGAGCTAAATGGAGCTTAGCCATCCCCGGCTGCAGGAGAACTGTGAGCCCCAGTCTGCTCCTGCAGCAGTTGGGATGCCAGTACCAAATCAACACTGCGAAGGGCTCTTTTCCACACCCATGCTCCCTTCAAACAACTGTGATATACAAAGATGCAGTTGTCTGGTATGATAAGGCTGGACTCTTAACGGGGCCAAAGATCAGCTTTTTCCTATAACTTTGACTCTCATGATAGATCCTGCTTTGACAGATGGACTCTCCCTGTGCAAGACTAAGGTCAGTGTGGGTGTCTGTTCCTGAAGGCCATACGGCTGATATTTGGCCAATCTTGTTTTGTCCTCCCCTTAGATAAGGATTACAATGGTTTAACTGGTTCAAGAAGTGAAGCAAGGTGATGCAAACTTCACAGCAAACAGCACAAAGAATTAGGAAGCACACCAGCATTTATTGAACACATCTCTCTAAATGAAGATACTAGATACAGAGTCCTTTACTGACAGGGAAGACAGTTTGTAAAAATCTTTTAAAATTTTAATACTGTAGTATTTAATATTAATATTAGTTTGGAAGGGATCAAGACTGTTTAAGTACAGCTGCCAGTACCTTCTCTTATTTTACTGTTTATTTTATGGCCATTACTGCAGCAATCTCAAAACTACACTTTGTTCTGACTGAAAAATCTTTGACTGACTTGCAAAAGTTTTGGAGTGAGACATGGAGAGTTGTTTGCCTTTCAAAAATAGCCTCTCTGAGATAATATCAAAATAAAAGTTCACTTCCAAGTTGTGATCAAGCTGAACTTTAAGTTTAGACTACATGATCAAAACATACTAACTTCCTGAGACAGGATGTGTTTGTTATAGGAAGTGTCAGGTTCTGTACCATGAGGAAATTTTAAATCTCGGTTTTTAGCTGCAAAAGCTTAGCACTCTTCTGAAGAATGTGCTGTGCTGACACTGCTTCCTTTCAACCCAGAGGGCAGAGTACAGGAGATTAGTAGTTGTTTCCACAAGTGACTTGTTAAAACAGTTCTACTGATCATACTTGATTGTGAAAAGCTGTACATTTACTACAAACACAGACTATATGAAAAGATTTTATTGTAACAACTAGCTAGTGGATGAAGTAGTGGCCTATCATTAGCAACAATGTATGGTACTGGTGTATGGATAATGCTGTGCTAATTTCTGTAGGCCATTTATGAGATATAGTCTTAATGTTTTTACACCAGTGGACACAAACGAGGATGTGTTCAAGTCGCTCTTTGGCTTTAACTTACATCTATTTATGAGCTATACATTTCCTTCCCTTCCTTGTGCTCAGATGTATCCTCATGCCTCTGGGTGGCATTGATGGGAAGGTGGTTTTATCCACAAAAGAAGGTGTCGGCACTCCTGAGTACCAGAGCTAGGTTGGAACAATATATATGTGTGTCTGACTCCATCTCAGAAAACACAAGCCAGGTGCTTTTCACTACAGATGCACGACCTACGAAAATGCTTCAAGTGTCTTGAGTGTATCTGACTGGTTACATTAAGACTGTATTAACTGATTAAATCAGTTCTAAAGTAACAGTAACACTAAACGAATGTTTCTGTAGCAGGGATAGAAGATTTTGTAAGAGCTAGTGGTGTTTGTTTTCTTCCACCCACAACTTCCCAAGCACTAACTACTGACATGGCCTGCCTGCCGCACCACACTGACCAAGGCTGAACGTGGTCCTACTTCAGCAGTTGTATTCACAAGCGCTTACGGCGCAAAAGAAGGCAACACTGACTCACTTGAAGCCAAGTCAAGCAGAAGGTGAACCAATAGCCAATGCCAAGCTAACAGCCTTGGCTGCTCTGAGCTGGACCCAGGCAGGAACAGGTAGGGATGCCACTGTGCTTTCTCGTGTGCCCCATACACCCAGGTACACTTGATTCCACATTACTTGCCCAAGCTTATTATGTATTATGAACATTTTTCTAAAATTATTATATTGAATCCAAACTTTGCATCCAGTAAACAATGCTCTGACAGGTAAGCTTCAGCATTTTTCCAAAGATTCTGCCTCTACAGATTGGAAGAGCATACACTTCTCCAAAAAGCCTGAATATTCTTTTTACACTACTTTTAAAGGTAATATGTTCATAATTTTTGTTTGTTAGCACTTAATAGAAGGCATTATAATGAAACAGGAATAAGCAAAGCTGTAAACATATAAGAATTTGCTCTTACAACATGCATCAAGATTTTAGTCTTATATAAGCAAAATACGGTCCTGAACAGTATATCCCTTCTCATTCACATGTATCCTTCTGTTTCACCAGCTATATGAAGATACATTGACATTAAAAGTCTTGGTCATTATATTAACCTATATAACCAAATCCATCAAATTATTAGCCAAGCATTAAGGATTACCACTTTAGATAAAACCAACACCACCCTTGGAGATCTAAGTCACCCTAATTTCAGTATGACAAAGAACATGCATTTATTTCTTTTGACATATTTAAAGGGCTGCCACACTTCTGAGTTGGAAAAAATAAAATTACCCATTTCAGTTTTTCAAGACCAAGAAAAACAAGAGCAATGCAGATGCAGGTTGATACTTACAGGTTACCACTTCTTTTATATTGTTATTAGCATCACTGATTCCTTTCTGTATTTCATCCAGCCACAGAAGTGCTGAGTCATCTTGGGATTCCTGGAAAAAAGACAGAGAAAAGCCTTGAAATAACTGAATTCTAACAAAAGTTGTCTGAACATACTCATAGACTCCAATATACAATCTCCTTTTGCAAAGCCCTTGGAAACTAAGAATTTGACTGCTTAAAATCAGCAGTAGAACATGTTCATAGTCTATTTACTGACTTGAATAAACTCCTGTTCAAATACAAAGCTCTGAAAGTTTTCATGTATAGAAGACACTGTCCTGCTAAAGATCAATAAAAATTTGAGTGAAGCTAGAAACATTTTCATTTCCATGATTCATAGGCAAAGTAATCTAAGTGTCAAATAAAACCAGACGTAATCAGGAAGCACTGTGACAGTAGCATAAAGAGCACAAAGCAGAAGACTGCTGGAAGTTGGCTTGCTTTCAGAATCACTTATTTAGAAAGGATCCGCTTGTACACCTGAGTACACATTACATTAGAAAATAACAGCAAAAACTGACATAGAAAGACAGCTCATTTTTGGTAATGATGACTTAAGCTCAGGTGGTGAATGTTTCAGGAATTAAGCAGCGGAGGAGGTCTCACTCTTCCTACAGGCTAACAGTGCATGATATTAAACCAAAGTTAAAAGAGAAGGTGCAGGGAAGTGGGCTCAATAACCCCACTAACCAGCCCTGTTGACCAGGCTCACAGGTGAACCAACACTTCAGCTAAGAAAAGAGGTTTTGAGCTAAATTGGCATTTTAAATCTAATCCAGTTGGTGGGGGAATGAAATTCATTCTAGAGAGTATATAGGAGTGCCAGGTCTATAATAGACTAGTGATGAGAGAAACTGGAATGCACTGATTTGATGAAGATCTGGGAGTATATACACACAAATATTTCTGGGGAAAAAAAAACAACCACAAACCAGAAACTGTCTCAAGCTGAAACAGTGTGGACAAACAACCAGCTTCGCAATGAATATCCCTCGTTTTGCACCCAACTCCAGGCTAAAAATCCAATAAATCTGTTATGCACAGAAATTACAAAGAGGAAACGGGGTAAAAAACCCTAAAGACAGACTCTTCAGTTTGCAACATATATGTAAACAAGCTAGCAGAATAGCTAAATAAAATAAAGTAGTGTCAGGCAGTTGCATGACAGTGGACACACACCACAAGTTTTTCTAACGAGAAAGTTAGAGTTAATACTTGTTTTAGTGTATACTAAATTCCCAAACTACCACTGACAATTTTGAGAAAAGGCTTGAGAAACTGGAAAGAATTCTTTATCTGGCATCCAGCTTTTACACGCTAGATACAAGAACACAGATACTGCTCTAGAGCCAAGTACAGCTTATGCTGAGCCTTGCTGCTAGCTTGGATGCCAGAGCAAGACTTGGGCTAATTTTTTCTGCTGAAGCCAGTCATTGTTATTTGGCATTCAAGACACACACACACAAAAAAAAAAAAAAAGAAAAAGAAAAAAGAAAAAAGCTAGGAAGAGAAAAAGGGAATGATCAACAAAACAGAAGATAAAAATAGAGGAAAGGTATTAGAGGCTGCCGGGGTGGGAACTGTCTGAGTGGAGCCAGCTGCCGGGTCGAAGTAAGAAGGACAGCTGACAGTCAGTAGGGAGGTAGGAGGCAATGCAGAGCAGTTTCTTAAGGTGTGTTTGTTTGTGTGGCTTGTTTTCACCTTTGCGTTTGCTAAACCGAGATCACCACACTCTTCTCCAAGCCTGACTTCTTCCTTGAGAAGAGTACAGAGTTCAGCAACATGCCATTTTCGACTGTGGATGAGACCCCTTGAGGATTTACTAAACACACCCTTTGGTTTTTCCAGAAAACATCTTTTTACCCCAAATATCTTCCTGTACAAATTCCAGTAGAACTCCCTACATCAGCTTCCAGCTCGTGGTAAATTAGGAGTTAAATTGCTGCTGTAGAGCAATTTTATCTCTGTGTTGGGCAGAGGCTGAAACTGAGTCATGTGTGCATATTTGGATATGTCACACCCTCTTGCTGTAGTAGACAAAGAACAAACTAGCTCCTTACCATAAGCCTCATACCTACAGGATGCTTCTGGAGAACAGATCAGTCATTCTTTAGTCCCTTACAGATGGGAAAAAAATCCCCCCCCCAAACGTCTTGAGATGAACTAGAGCATCATTATTGTTTGGCTGGCTGGATTTCATGTACTACAATGAAGATACTGGTTTTCACTGGACTGCTTTCTGTTACCTCCAGTCTTTTCACAGCAGGTGAGTTCTCCTTTCTGTATCTATTCCATCTTTTAGTCAATAATGTGGGCTTTTAATAATATTGACACTTTACCAGCTTAAATGGATTGTACATGCATTTTTACAGAAAACTACACTCTAGGAAGTGTCAGTTAAGGCAGATTTTTATTCTTCCATTTCAGTGACACCTTACCTCCTCCAGTCACTTTCTTTTTAAGGGATCTTTCTGTACTTGCTAAAGATGCATCTTCTCTCTAGTATTTGTGTAGTGATATGTTAATCTTAAACCTGTAGAGTCTTGTTCTTTCTGCTTTAAATCATTCAATAGAATTACAGCTTCACAGATAGTGCTATTAGAAAGAAATGCTCAGATAACTATTGTCACAAAAATAACCAAAGGAAATGATCAAATAAGCCCTTTTCTGCCTCACTAGAATTAAAGCTGTTTTCAAACCAAGCTCATTTTTAAAAGCTATTTTATATATATGCACAAGCCATATATGTACATGCATGCACATGTCTTTTAAAGGGTGACTAAAATTCATTTTCTGGATTAACCGTCCAGAAAATTACTAAAAGGGATGCAGTCTACTAATTATAATTTCAAAACATTCTACCATAAATCTGCGAGTGAGCACTGATAGATCTGCTTTCCATATTTTATACCAGTATGGAAAGGAAAAAGAAAAGCTCAAAGGTTTTCATCCAAATTTCAGTTCACGTCTGAATTTGAATTTCAGGATGCATGCTCTAAGCTTTAAACTAAGTCTTCTTGCATTAACAACAGCTAAGAAATTTTTTAAGTGACAAAATTAATGACACAGCGGTTTATTCTGCAAAATCTATTTTGCAACACATGGTTTAGAAAGTATTTGAACATATTTGTGCTTCGTCTGGAAATGTCAATGTCTCTACACAGATCTTTACTTAAGACTGAGGAACAGGCATTAATAAAAGTGGAATCATCGGCTTTGCCCACATGCTAATGATATTTACTCATTGAAAATTTCCCTGCTGCATGAAGTTTTATTCACTTACCAATAAATTTGATCTAATATCAGCCTAAGCCTTTGTTTTCTGTTCTCAAGACTAACTGTCCTTCTTCATGTATGAAAAGCTGTAAAGGTCAGGTTTGATTTAGTCAGAAGCTGAAGAATAACATTAGATATATGAGACCAAAAAATTGAGGGTTATTTCAGTTTTCTAATTTGAAAGTTTCAGCCTGCATTAGGCAAGACAGAGATTTTTTGCATCTTTTGCAGTCATGTATTTCTTCTATGAAGTGATAGTATAGTACCAGTATTCGCTTTGGAAATTCGGATTAAGCCTAGACCAAGGCTGCTGCTTATATGATGAATTACCAACATTGCTACTATGGCGAAAAACTCTCTCCAGGTGATAAACATCATACAAGTGTCTGATATTTTTTGCCAAAGATTACTGAAAACATGCAAAATGCAGAAAGATCAGCTTAACACTAAATTCATGCTAGATTTTCAAGGTAAGATGACAAATAAAGTGAAGATTGTCCTTGAGCACAGTTGGTATGAATACCCAAAGCAAAGGAGAATGCCATCAAATCTTTTAAAACTATTAGACATATATTGCTTCGCACATGGAAATATTTACTTTTTTCCATACTTGAAGGTGAAATATATTGCTAATCCAGTAGTTTACCTTTTTAAACTATTTAAACTTTTTTTTTAAGCTTCAGAATTTTCACTGAATGGCTCTGCAATTAAAACCGTGTCTCTTATCAAGACTTTCCGTGGAATTTCAGCAAGAGACTATGATTACATCCCCCCTTATGCTATAGAAGGGGAGACAACGACCATCCATATCAGAGAACACAAATGCTCTTCTAAACAGTCAAATGACTCCACTTTAACAGAAGTGAACAACACCACACTGGAATACCTGACCAGTTCTCTGAGCACCAAGCTCATACCCGCCGTCTACCTCAGTGCTGTTTTATTGGGTGTACCCTCTAATGCCATTATTTTGTGGATGCTGCTCTTCAGGATCCGGTCTGTGTGCACTGCCATCCTCTATACAAACTTGGCAGTTTCAGACCTCCTCTTCTGCATCATGCTACCCTTCAAAATAGCATACCACATCAATGGGAACAACTGGATTTTTGGGGAAATGATGTGTCGAACTACCACGGTGGTGTTTTACGGCAACATGTACTGCTCCATTCTGCTGTTGACATGCATCAGTGTCAGCCGCTATGTGGCTATTGTTCACCCCTTCACCTACAAGAGCCTGCCGAAACGTGCCTATGCCATTGCGGTCTGCGCTACCGTGTGGACCGTCGTCTTCTTGTACATGCTCCCACTTTGCATAATGCAGCAAAGCTATTATGTGAAACAACTGGACATTTATACCTGCCATGATGTGCACAACACCTGCGAAACGATATCTTCCTTCCAGTTCTACTACTATGTTTCTTTAGCTATCTTTGGGTTTTTAATACCTCTTGCAACTATTGTTTTCTGCTATGTCTCAATTATACAAACACTCAAGACTCATGAATGGTTCTGGTACGTTAAGGTCAGTCTTTTGATCCTTACCATCTTTGCTATTTGCTTTGTGCCAAGCAATATTATCCTTATTATCCATCACATCAACTATTACTATTACAACACAGATGGGTTGTATTCTTTTTATCTTATTGCTTTATGCCTTAGCAGCTTAAACAGTTGTCTCGATCCTTTCCTTTATTTTCTGATGTCAAAAATTAGAAGTCAATCCAATATTTATCTAACAATGGTTAAAATATCCAGGGAAAAGTGAATGTAGTTCTATATTTATACTACTGGAATTATGATTTTGTATAGTATTAACCCATGCAGCAACAAACCTCAGGTGCAACAATTAAACTTAAAAAATTAAAAAGTATTAAAAAACACAGTCTCAGTGAAATGTACTTCCTTCCACACACCACACAAGTAGTATCTTCAGAAATACACTTCTCCAACTCTATAATCATATCATGGGTATTGCAACATCTGGTGTATCTAGATTCAGTGAAGTGGCTCTCCACCTCCATGTCTTTCCAAGAAGATCACTTTTATGGTCATGGAGAAGAAACCAGAGCATCTGTCACCATGACCTCTGGACACCAGAAGAGGAATCAATATCTGAACAGCACTTTTAGTTATTCAGGATTTCCAGATACTTCAGATTAGCTCTCAGTTCACAATCACTGCAGGAAGAGTGATGTGAAAACAAATCTTTAGCCCAGTGGAAATGGGAACAAGTAAAAACATTTTCTACATGCCCAGGAGCTGTCAAGGTTTGCAGAAGCTCCCTGTCACATAGCCAAGAGCAAATACTGCCCTGGATGTTGGAAATAAAGAGCCAGAGTCCCCGTAGGTTCAAGGAGCAGTAAATCTACAGCTGTAGATGTGAGAGCCTGACACTTCCAAGGCAGCATCCCCTCTGAGGCTGCTTAACCAGCTTTGCACTGGAGACTTGTTCTTCCACTTTGTCAGCGCCTGCACTCCTCTAGCTCATGAGGATTACTGGGAGTTAACCCTTATCAGTGTGAATCCAGGCATGTATTATTCTTGCTTTGTAAGCACAACAGGGAAGCTGTTTTGTAGTATTCTCTATTTCCACATCCTCACAGGAAATACCAACAGTGTTACAAATACTGAAGCTAGTTATGATTGATTGTACGCGTTAATAAAGCAAAAGGTCAGTTTTTACATTTACAGAATCTTAAAAGCTACATATATACTGAGTGTAAGTTCCTACAGAATGAGCTCAGTGTTTGGCACTTGTATTTATAACTGCAGCATGTAAGACAATGAAGAGAAAAAAAATGTTTTACATCAGTTTGATAACAGTATTGTGAAAAACTTTAAATAAAATCATTTGCACTGGAAATTGCCTTTGAGGAATTTGCAACCTGTTAAGTCTCCCCTTCTTCAATTTCTTCTAGCTCCCAACTTAAGTTAGTTTTGATCATGCCGTTCCCTTAACATGCACAAGAGCAGATTTGAAAGATAACTTTTAAATAATCCAGATATAAAAGAAGCGTGTACCTTACTAAAACCTGTGTGCCTATCACTCAAAAAAATAAATTAAGAGAGGCACCATTTCAAAGTTTGGTACATCTGTAACTTTTCAGGCATCCATAATACACTCCCTAAACACCAGTTTTATCTTCACTGGGATCTGAATACTCTTGGTTTGAAATGGCCTTGAGAACTGTTAGAAGCTGTGGTTTAAGATTAGAGGAATAAATGAAATCAAAGTTTGCCTCTTCAATTTCAAGCAAGGAACAAGTAGGTGTGATCTGAGATTAAGACCAGTAGCAGGTACTGGGAGATTTGGGTGCAGACTCTACTTCCGCAAAGTCACCACAGCTACAGAGACGTGACACCAGGCTGATTAGAATAAGCAAGCACGCTTGACCCATATGTTTTTCCAGATGCTGGGGAACACAGGAAGTTCACAGGGAGACCTATCTGATCCTTGTAAATCAAATACTTCCTTTTACCACAGCTCGCTCTTAAAACACACTACATACAAATAAAGGCAGATCTGCTTTTTAAACAGTGCTCAGAAAAAGTGGGGAATAGACAGACTTTAGGCATTGCACTTATCTTTTCAATTCTGTTTGGATTATTTTTTAAGGAATGTTCAATCTAAATCATGTTTTTACTGAAGGAATGGTGATGTCTGTGTGATCGACCAACGTAGAGTATAAATCAGATTAATGTGTCCAAGTGTTTCTTTTGGGAGCACACGTAGTACAATGTCTTGCTCTTTTCCTAAACAGGAGCAATGCTCCTCTTTATAGAGGAGATGTTCTAAATAGTTGTCAAAGGACCGCAAAATCAAAATACCTCAGGATAGAAAGACCAGCGGAACTCTCTAGGAACATCACAAATTTTTGAGTGAGAAGGTTTCAAAGAGATTGCACAGTTTTTGTTCCAAAACTTGGGAGACACCCATTTGTTTCCTATCAGCACGTTCACACAGGGACAGGAGTAGGCATCAGGTTTGCTCGTGTTGAGCACATCAGCAGCTGGCAGGAGCGAGCCAGGGCAGGGCTGCTGTGTGTAGGCACGTGGGTGCCTGTGGGCTGTAGGTCTGTGCCTCAGGGTCATCCTGGCTCACTCTGCACGCACGAAGGGTCTGCCATGTCCCAGGCCAGCACTGCACAGCCACCACATGCACAGACGCTGCATGTAAATACCAAATACCAACCCTGGCCCTTCCAGGACAGGTAAAATAGTCAGCATGCACTAAACCCTCCCCAGCACATATGGCAAGGGAGGAGACTTTTGAGCATCTGGGGCTCAGTGAAATCATCCCTTACCTGGGAATCCAAGCAAGAAGCTGAGATGTGCAAATGCCTTTTAAGAGCTTTGACAGTGGATTGTGGAAAGTCACTGGATCACAGCAGGTACCACAGGTGAGGTGGTATGGTTGGAAGATACTTCTGCAAGCCAAAGTTCAGGGACTTTCTCCAGGTGACCATATTATTTTAGGAATGCATTATGTGAATTTTAAGTGTCTTTTCCAAACACTGGACATTTCAAGTGCTATGCTAGTAGCTTTAGCTAATCTTGTATTCAGTCACATCCTGCTAGCTGTTAGGCTAATCTTTGTTTTTGCTTCCTTGAGCTGTGATGCTAACCAGGGCACTGATTTTGGGCAAACAGATAACAATATCCTGCTCCAATAGATTTAAACTGAAGGCACATGCAAGGCCGTCAGCTTGTTGTATGTAAAGCCAGCACACAAATACATACAAGAGTCCACTACTATAAAACACCGGATTTAAGCAACTGAGACTCCTCAAAGTACTTCCAAGAGGTTTGTTAAGGAACACCATGACTATGATGTTGATGAACACCTTCAGCATGACTATGACTCCAATTCCCATCCATGTTGTAACTACCTGCCTGGCACATTCTAGTAACTTGATCATTGCACAAATTCGTAACTACATCAGGGCCACTGCTGCCCGTGTTTTGTAATACATGCAGCAACCTAGTAGAATTAAAAATGAGCAAGGGTATGTCAAGTCAATAGTGACACATACACAGAATATGTCTTCGTATTAATACATTGAGAATTAATCCCTTTTGCCAGTCAGAATAAGTCATAGAGGAAAATTACGTAGTGCCAGTTTGTTGTCATTGGCTTATTTACAACCCCATGGGCACAGCTAATCCAAACATCGAGGGAACAGGACAAGGGCACACATGTAAGTGAAAAGAATTAGCATTTCAGTTCTGACAAACAGCAACAGGCAAAGCTCTAACCTTGCATTTCTGTGCTTTGGCGTGGTGCAGAACATCCTGATAATGCCTTGCATTGACTGGTCTTACGTCTTGCAGCTTGGCTGTGGGTAACAGTAGGGTTTCTAGAGTTTTCTCAGGATTTCCTTGGTCAATTGCTTCATTAATGTGGCCAATTGCAATGATTCCTGTGAAATAGAGAAGTTATTAAAGACGTAGTTATCGAAGAAAGATGCAACTTATCTGATATCAGATACAAACAAAGCAGTAACATGAAGAACAGAAAAATCAAGTAACAAGCAGCAGAGGCAGCAACAGGAGCTGATTTAAAATTATTTTTGCTGAAATATTCATTGTGAAGCTATGAAGTTGTACAGTTTTTCTTTCTGCCAGTTATTGATTCATCTGAATCCACCTCTTCATAAAAATCAAATTTATCCTTGCCAAAAAAAGGAAAACAGACTTCCCTAATTTTAGGGCAGGAGTAGCTACACGAAGCTTAAGGGAAGGTTGGGCATCACACCTGATTATGTTCACCTACATATTGGCTCACAGTGCTGAAAGACTTATTTTCTTGTCATTTCAGACCAGATTATGTTGAAATCCTGATTTGGACAAATACATACATACTGACCTCCCAGCTACAGCATTACATAACAGCTTAACCACATTTCTTTAGGTTTCATCTTAAATAGCCAATCTTATAATCTTGACCTTATGAGAAATCACTTGATTGTTCAGACCAGCGGCACTCAGGACTTCAGTTAGCAAGTTACATGGCCCGGTATATTTGATAAAACCTCTAACTCATTTTCTTCAGACTGATCTCAACATTTTGAAATCAATTTCCTCATGCTCCCAAACAGTGCTGAAATGCACTGCTTGGGATACTTTCTCCCTAAAGCCACCCCAGAAAAGCACCAGCCAAGGACCTCCCCATCACCTGTGAGGGATGGCATCCCTGACGGCAGTGGATCATCTCTCACCAAGTCTCTCCCAGACCCACCACGACCCAGCTGGCGGGGTCACAGATCCATGGCTTCCTAAGGCTTTGGGAACAAGCAATTTTCTGGGGTGCTAGCAAAGAGGGACCATGCAAACACATGGGCTTGCTTATGGAAACAGAGGCCACCCTTCTTCATCCCGTCTCTGTCCCAAATAACCATTCCCAGACAGAGGCCAGTTTCACTGAAACCAAGTGCAGCTGTTTTAGTACTAAAGACTGACTCTCCTAACGCAAGACCGCCTTTCTTAATCCCTGTTTCAGCTCGTATTGACTGCAGAGATTCAGACAAAAAAAAGTGATTATGTCAATCAAATGAACTAATCCTCCGCCTGCCAGAGGGCCCACATTGCGAACAAGCCATGAGGGTCCATGGCAACCACTTGACTAGATTTAGGAAGAAATAATCCAGTCAGTTTTAGTATTTCTGTAATATGTCTTTTACTAGTATGAAACAGTAGCATGCATTACACTGACAGCAGTGCAGGAAGGGCACATGCACCAAAACAACCTATGCCTTATGAAGGCTC